GTATATATATATATATATACGAGACACACACACATATATATATATATACAAGACACACAGAATGTTTTTGGATTTGGGCTACCTTGAAAACTAATGAATAAATATATAAATAATGATAAGGTATAATGATACATGTGAACAATTTCAAAATGCTGCCTTTTTATGCTGCTATATGAAACATAATCCAATGCATATTATTCAGAAGAGAGACTTCTAAGTACAAATGTACTTACATGTAAGTACAGATGGCAAATTTATGTAAATAGTGGGAAAATAGAGTTCCTGCAAAAGCATGGGCCATATACACTTACTATTGATTCTGTTGTTATCAAGATGAAGATGCTCAAGATGGATACTGATATCTGGGATTATGGTGAGTTCATTGTACGATAGCTGAAGATCAAGAAGGGATGAAATATTAAAGACTTTGCTTGGTATGCCTCCATCAGTTAATTTATTGTGGTTCAGCCGTAGGGAAACTAATCTGAGCATTGCATCAAAATAATTGTCTGGTATTGTTTCAATAGAATTACTGTCCAGAAAAAGCTGGTTCACATTAGCAGGAAGAATTGGTGGCATTTTTGTAAGGGAATTTTGAGCAACATTAAGTTGCATGAGACTGCTCAGTCCTTGGAAGGTGTTGTTTGACAGAGTGTTGTCCAACAGTTTGTTTTGATGTAAGTCTAACATAGTTAGGTTTTCCAAATTATTGAAGACACCTTGAGGGATTATCCCGATTTTGTTTCTTGCTAAACGCAATTGTTCAAGACTTCTTGGCAGGGGATCTGGCACTTCTTCTAAATAGTTGTCTTCCAGGTACAAGTAGAGTAAACTTTTTAAATTGTTAAATGCACCTTTTTCAATTCCATTGGTAGTGATTTTGTTATTGTTCAGATTTATCCATTTTAGTTGGGTGGCATTCGCAAAAGACTTCTCTGTAATTGTTTCAATGAGATTGTTTTGGAGATAGAGGTACCAGATACCCGGTGGGATGGCAGGTATTTCTTTAATTGCCTTGCTATCACAGTATAAAGCATTTGGGAAGTTTGGAGGACAGACACATTCTTGTGGACACTCAAAGGTATAAAACAACCAGTTGTATGGATCAGATTCATCCTCCATTGTTCTGATAGTGTGAGTCCACACGATATTGGCTAAGAAGGATACCAAAAGGCTGGAACAAAATATTATATTCATAGTTTACCTTAAAAAGAGGGCAAAATGAAGTTACACACTACACCTGTATCTTTTGTTTCCAGCAACAAAACATTAATTTTATAATAAAATTTGAATGTATTCTCATAAGAGTAAAATATAGTATTATATCATCTCTATCTGTTCCATACCCCAACATTTATTTTCAGAAGTATTGCTTAGTAGAGCACACTGCAACTGATTTGTCTAGAGTCCTTATAAGTTTCTACTCAACTAAGCTGCATCCACAGTCAATATTTATTTAAAAGAAACTTTAGATAAGTTTGATTCACTAACTGATACCATACAAGTTTATTCTGCCCTACAAGCCAATTTTCTATTATATGGTAGCATTTGTACAATTCTCAATAATACATCTGAAATTATAAGGATCTTGATTGATACAAATAAGTATTTAAAAAAGGAGAGACCAGCTGGAAAAATATATACTGAAATGTTCTAAGTACATTTATTAATAACAAACAATATTAATGTTGAAAATTAAAGGGATTATTAAAGAAACAGGAAAACAATAATTTGCATTCTGTATGGTTGCGCAGGGAGTTGGGGGCTGGCTGTCTTTCTATACTGCTCCTCTACAACATGAAATCCAACATCACAATGTTTTGATAGGCTTTGAAATTGATGGATAATAACCTTCAAAATTTCTTGGTATATAAACTCAGGGAAAAACACAAAGGGAGGCTAAATAATTTTGAGGGAATACTGTAATTTATTAATTTATTAATTTATTAATATTAATTTTGCATTTCCTTCTGGTACATAAACATTCCCAACATTTTCCTGTACAGGTTTGGTACAGGAGGCACCTGAAAAATCATTAAAAACAAATAACTTTCCTTCCAAAACTAGTTGTAGTTTCATTTCTCAGAAATTTATAGCATTCAAGTCTAAAATATACAGATACATCACTCCAAATACCTGATTATTTTTTCTAATTTAACACTGTTTCAGATTCTAACTTACCTCAGCTTGGATTCTCTTCTTTCTATGATAACTGTTGCTAGACTATAGTAAATGAGTTGATCAGGCAACAGGCAGTGTTTTATGAATACAACCTCATATATATGTGTGTGTGTGTGTGTGCATGCGTGTGTGTATGTGTGTGTGTGTCTGTGTGTGTGTATGGACATATAGTTTGTAGTACAACCTGTGATTGTGGGATTTCCTTCAGACCTATTAATAGGTCAATCTATTTAATTATGTTTCTAATTAGCCAAATATGGCTTAGTGTTGCTATTTAACTGGGTATCATTATCTTCATGCCACCAATTTGTCATTATTCAGTTAGTAAAGAATGAGCTTGTTCAAGACTGCAGCTTATTCATAAAAATATATTACATGATAACACTTTTATGGAACATGCTCAGTAATTTCTTTCTGATTTAAATGTAAATAGTATGAAGGAACAACTATATAATAGGATGCCCTTAGTATTAATGTTTTCTTTCCTTGACAACTAAGAATTGTTTCTGCTACTCAGAAGGCAAAGGGTACAAAGCTTGTCAAATTATTTTGTCAGACGAAGTCTCTGATGTAACCTCCCACGTTGCTTGATTTTGTGTTTCTATTTTGTCTATTCCTCCTCTTTATGACCAGTATTATTCTTGATGATTTTCCATTCCATATTATTATTATATCCTATGCTTATCTTTTATTTATATTTAGAGATTTAATGTGTATGTGTTTCTGTATCTATCTGATATACATACAATATTTTATATAGATTAAGCTATCCAGAACTAATATGGAGAAAATAAGTTTTCAGCAAGACAGGGTTTACAAATACATGAATGTCTTACAAAGCTTATCATCACTCTTTGAGTAAATCTTCAAACAAGTTTTGCTTTTCTATAGAAATGAAGACCATTTTATTAAAAAAGGATAGAATGACATTCTCTAGAATGATATGTGTAGCTCAAACACAAAACTATCTTCATTTTTTACCCAATAGATAAAAGTATTTCTTATTTTTTAATTGTAAAATAATGGAGCTTAAATAATGCAGCTTAAATGGTGAGTAAAGGGGGAAGATTGCTGATGTTAGTTCCATAATTAAACACAGCAATCTGACATTTGCAGTACTGTAATACTATACCTATAAAGATTATACTATTATTGCTTAACATAGGTCAAAACACAATTCCTGAATATCCAGGCCAAAATGCATACAATATACCACAACAAAAGCTGTTTTAAACTAATATTTCTGGCCCTTAGAATCCATCTCTGAAATTTAAAGTAAAGGAGTTACTAGGAAAAAAATAGAAAATATTTCAATATTGCAGGAACTTTTTAAAAAATGTTATAAAATATATGGAAAGTGTAACAAGTCAATTGCCAGCAAAGATATTCATTAAATCATTATATCACAAAGTAGTCTTTAAATAACAAGAGCCTGAAGGAGACGGAAGCACAACATGAGGTCCAATGGAATTGGGGGTTTGATTCCATTGCCATCCAAGCGGAGATAACGAAGCTGTGGTAAATTTCTCTCATAAACATAATCTCCCGGGATAGGAATTGGACATACTTGAGTTCCATTAAGACCTAAAAAAACAACAACACGAAATAAATATGTGAAAAGTTACTAATAATAAATTTATTAGATTACTAGGTAAAAGCTATTGATACTTTGGAATATTATTATTATTAATTGCATTTCTCAGGAGTCAGTAAGACCATCAGTCAACATGGTGTTCTTCTTTCGTTTATGGAAGGTGAGAAAGATAATAAAATAGAGATGTTGTGCTGGTAAACCATCAATTAAGTGGCAAGGTACTGTCAATGTCATTTCTGAAGTTATAAAGATGTTTGAGAGGTTTGTTTGTTTTTTGCCTCAGCAGACAACAGCATCTGGCTGGCCTTGTCTAGGCTCAAAAGCTAAACAGGGTCAAATCTGGTTAGAATTTGGATGGGAAATTTACAAAAAATAGGTTCTAATCTTTAGATAAAGACTACAGGTAGAAGTTGAAATATTGACAGTTTAAAAATCACTTCTGATTTTTGCCATGGAGTCAAGCTTAACCAAGTTACTTCATTTTTTTAAGCTGCACTTGCAATAAATTGCAGGAGTTCTCAATCTCCCTAAATAGCTCCATCCATCCCATCCCATCCCATCCCATCCCATCCCATCCCATCCCATCCCATCCATCCATCCATCCATCCATCCATCCATCCATCCATCCATCCATCTGCTTAGAGTTGTTGGGAATCAGGATGATATGTAAATTTAATAAATAAATCTAAGAATTGTAATCAAAGTGAAGTCACTGATAAAGGGGAGGTTAATGCAGAGGCACATTTAATTTAATATTTAATTTCTTCCTTTCTTTGCATCTTTTAAAGAGGGCTACAAAGGGCAAATATCAGAGAATTATACAGATCGGGACTTTGTCTCCAACCCCCATCCCATTTATTTATCTACTACTAAACTTTAGAGTTGATATCTCTGCTTGTCATAAGATTCAACCATTTGATGCTCATCCTATTACTTTATATTCACATTAAAAAGGATAGAATATTCTCAGAGTTACTGGGAGTCAGATGGCATATCAATTTAATATACCATTATGGTTGGCTGCACAGCAGCCAGATGCTTAGACTGCATTTAGTGTATTTACTCTCCTATCAAGTCCTTCCCAGGGACCTAGGATAACCAGATGTTGTTTGATGAAATTATTGTTTTGTTTGATCGCACAGTCAACCAAATGTTTAGATTGGATTTGGCATTTTTATCCACCTATCAAATTATCCCATTATTACTATTATTCTGATGTCTCTTCCTAGTTTGAGTAGACAAAACTTTGTTGTGAATACTGAGTAGCATTCATCATGATTATCTAATTAGTTCTTGTATTGTTGTAGTGATAGACATTTCAATAGATAAAATACATCAAATAATCCTACATAATTTGTATGTCTGATTTCTGGCTAGTTCTGATTAAATAAGCATTTTTTTTAGTTATCCATTCTAATTATTTCACTTCTGATTGGAGAGATAAAGTGAGCCACTAGGACAGTCTTATGATGCTAATTGGCTGAATTTGATTCTGCTTACAATTGTTTACAATGAGGTGAATAAGATCCTCTGAACTGTGACTTCATCTACCTGTTTATTATATCCAGACCTCTCATGGGAAGATGACCTGGTAGGAGACCCTGCAATGGTTGAACCCATGCAATAATGTCAGCCTCTTTGAGGGCAGAAATGATCCCTTTGACCTTGAAGGAGGTGGTCCCATCTCAAGGGACCATCATGAGGTTTGCCACTGGAGATATTTACTGTCCGGTTTCCAATCTTCCCTTTATGGCTATTATTATATGTTCGATTACCTTTTGCAGTGCTGAGATAGAAGTAGTATATTCATTCTCATATTATTATTGTACTGTCAGTGTGTTTTGATTACATTGGCTATGGCATCCTTCTGACTAGCTTGAGAGTTGGAATTGGGGAACCTGTGCTGCACTGATTTGCTTCCTTCCTCAGTGGTCAGTTTTAATTGGCATTGAATAGGGAAAAGATTGTGCCCATAATCCCTCACTAATGGGATAAATGTTCTTACCCTACTCTCCATTTAACATTTGCATAAAACTGTTTGGTAATGTTATTCGTAAGTTCAGAATCTAGTATCATCATATTGTATTAATTGTATATACCAGGGTGTCAAACTGATGGCTCTCGGGCTGGACACATCACACACAGGCCACACCCACCCCAGCTCCGCAAAGGGGAAAGCATCATGAAACATCATGTGATGGCAATGTGACACAGCAAGTTTGACACCCATTGTGTATACCAATTAATACAGACTACATGGCTGCGCAGGGGAAGCTGTCCGTGAATTTATCTAGTGTTGGAAGCTGTTCAGAAGGAAGCTAAGAGGAACAGACTCATGTTCAATCCTGTCAAGATTGCGTGTCTGTGGTGTTTGGGGCTCCCTAGATTGGCACTTCGTGGGTATCACTATAGTAGTACAAGAAATACTGTTCTTGGATGAGGTGCACTTTGGCATTCATGACATAGTACACAATTTGGGAGCTCTCCTGCTTTGAGATCTTGCTTAAAGAAGTCCAGAAGGGCCTTTGTATAGGTCTGCCATGCACAGCAATTCTGCAACCTTTTTTTCAATTTAGAGGTCCTTCAGACCATCAGTTATGCCCTATTCAATTTCTGATGTGACTATTGAAATGTATATGGGACTGCCTTTGAAAACCATACAAAATTACAAGTGATTCAATAGGCAGTGACATAGGCAATGACAGAAATTTCTTGTTATACCCATTCTCATCACTACTTAGAGAGTTGCATTGATTATGACTTGGCTTCCCAGTGCAATTTAAGATACTGGTTGTCATTTATAAAGCACTTCATTGCATAGGGTTTAGTTCTTTGATGGAATGTATGCTTCTAATAGTTTCTACCCATTTAGTATAATTGTCACAAAGTGGGTGTGTTTGGATGCCTCAAGTTAAACATTGTTATTTGGCATAACCAAGGATGAAAATGCCTCCTCTAACATGGCAACAGCATCCCATCTGAGATACGTACATCAAATATTCTGAATGTCTCCCAAAACTTGCTTTTCCTGATGCTTGGCATTCGAGTATTTTGACAATTATTTGTTTGTTATTTGTATGGCTTTGTATGAGCACTGGTATATATATATATATATANCACACACACACACACACACACACACACACACACGCACATCAAAATTCTTATATGTGTCCTTTTTGTACTCATAATGATATGATGATCTTTTGATTAAAAAATAATTTTTTTGGAGAAAAAGTTATCTTTCAGGCACATCTAAATTCTTTATTCAAAGTTTTAACACTGAATTTCAAATAAATGCAGTTATGAGTATGCTATGTAGTAAATTTCAGGGAACTTAAAGCTTTAATAATTCAGTTTTAAAGATAAATACTTTGAAATGTACCAAGTTAATTAAAGTCCCATGAAAATACAACCTTTCAGTGCTTCTGCTGCCATTACTATGCTGTCTTCTGTTGGAGAATACTAGTGGTAGGATTTAGCCAGTTCACACCACTTCGGGAGAACCGGTTGTTAAGTTTCTGAGCAGTTTGGTGAACTGGTTGTTAGAAGAAATCATTAGGGCAGAGAACCGTTTGTTAAATTATTTAAATCCCACCACTGAATACCTAAAGGCTGTAATTTAAATGGTAACCTTTTTCATCTTCAGTAAAATTATGGTCTGACAAACACCTTTTTAGCCATCCTGTTTTTTTTTTCCATTTTATTTGTTTGGATAAATCTGTGTACAACAAACGTATGTTCTGTAAAACAACTCTAAAGCCTCTACTGTCAATTAGAAAAATAACATCAAGAGGGAGGAATAAAGGTTAATTGGAAATGAACAGTTATGTGCAAACTTTATCAGTTCTGTTTCTCTCATTTTGATCAGTTTTCTCTGAAAAATAATTTCATTGTAATTCTTAACATAATATGGCATCTGATTTTTTTGCTTATTTTATTCAGTAGTTATAGCCTGCAGATAGACAAAATTATTAGCCCATTCCAGAAGCAAATTAATGTTCAAAGTCCTTTAAGAAGCCTAACATTCAATAATTAGGATTAGAAAGATGTGTAGTTATCCTTAGACCCTCTTTCAGCTGGATTTTCTACTGAGAAAGATATGATTTCAATGAACCTTCTGAGTCATCTCATAGCTTTTTCATCTCTGCTCCTTTAATGAATTCCATTCACAGAAGCTCTTAATTATTCCTAATTGCTTAATGAAACTTTCATGGCCAGAACCAATATTTATACATTAGCAAGTTACAAACAAACATTTGATTGTCATCAGATTAGAAACATCTGACTAGTGACTGAAAAGGAAAGATTGTTTATTCAAAAAATGTTAAGACACTGAGTTCTACCGCATCACTATTAGTTCCATACTTTCATTATCCAAAATCAATCATAGTAGCACTCTTTCTACTATCTTGGCTTTAATGTAACAACATTATGATGTCATGGTCCCTACCTGTAGTCCTCTTATTTACAAGACTGGAGAATTATCCAAGCTTTTTGGGAAGAGAAGGAGTCAGCTATACCTTAATTGGTTTATTTTGTCTGTGCTTTCCTGTCCTACCATCAAATGATGATCTTGTAGAGAAAAACTGGAGACTACTGATCCAATTGGCTATAATCAGTCAGGTAGATGAATATTGGACAAGGCAAGCCCTTAAATAAACTGACCTTGAACATATCTAAACATGATTCAAGCCAAAGCCAAATGGCTTGAAAGTACTGCATCACTTGAAAGCCAAAGTACTGCATCACTTGAAAGTATCAGGATAGCTGTACCTGCCCAGGTCATCAATTTTATACCAGCTATAGTTTTAAATATTTTTCAGTAATCCAAGCACATGTAACTAAGATATAAGTGACTGTGAGAAGAGTGGGTGCAACTCAGGAGTAGGTTCCTTCTATAGAAGAGGTTCCACAAATCTACCGTGNATAACACTCTGATGCTTCTACCATAATAAGATACATTAAACCTGTGTCCATTCTAATAATTTATAAAAATTGGGATATTCTACCAATAATAAGCTTACACTCAGGCACTCCTGGGATAACTCGGATAAATCTCATAAAAGAAATATTGATGAAAACATTTTGTGAAACATTTCCACAAGGTCACCTTTAGAGTAAATATGAGTAAAAACTACCCTTCTGAATGCACTCCTTCCTAGTCCCTTTCTCCTGCTGGACCTAACCATATCTTCCTTGTTCTCGTGTTTGCCTCCTTATAACATTTCCTTTTTCCTGTTGTCTCTGCTTGGAAACACCCACGTAAATTATTTACTTGAATAATATTTTTCCCTTAAGTCCTCTTCTAAACAATAACTCCCTTAGCAGGAAATCTTTCAAAAAGTTCCAAGTTCCTAGGACTTGGAAACCAAATGAGAAATTGAAGCCAATATATCATCTCATCTGCAGAGTTTTGAGGAACAGTAGATTTTCAACACTTTCCACTATTGTTAGCTATCACAAGAAGATTATTCAAATAGATCCAGTCTTCTATTTCAAATTACTAACTACCCATTCTGAAAATTTTCACCAACACAGTGAGAACAAAGAAGAATGGAATGGGAATTGAGACCATCTTCCTAAAGTTGCAATCTGCATAGAAAATGAACTTTACTAAACATCTTGAGAAAAACTTCAAGTCTCAAGGAATAAGAAGCCATAATATAGAATATTTAAAAGCATCTGAAAGTCATATTTCTCTGTTAAGATTCTAGTGTTGTTGGTTTTTTTTTCACAAGATAGGTTCTGCTCCTAGATAGGCATGATCAATGATGAGACTGAAAACAGACTCACTCATTGTTTTCAGACTTCTTGATCCAAAGATTTCTAATAGCTGAAAAGTAGTTAATAAGCAATTTCTGAACATGACTAGAAAAGGAAATCAATCATGGTTTGAGTAAGGTGATTATTCCCTCATCTTCCAGTGCTCAAAACTGGGTGGAGATTGTGATTGTGCTATTTCCTCATAAGGCACAACTGTCTGGAACATTTATGGGTGATGCCTGGTCCTCTCCTTTATTCACAAAGATTTGAAAAGCTGATCTACGGGCCAGTGCTGCATTCTTCACCATGGTCATCAGTCTTCAATCTGTCATTTCTAATTCCAGTCATTCTGCTGGAAACCCATACTTTAGTCCTTCTCAACCCTTTTCCGAAGCAATTTTAAAAAGTGAACAGTTTCTTGCCATGTTTGACTGTGTCCTAGATATATATTTATTTCTCTGTATTTGTATTTGTATTTGTATTTGTATTTAATAGATTTATAGGCCACCCAATCCCGAAGGACTCCTATTATACAATTCCTGTCCTTCGGTTTCATATTTATCAATCATTCTCTTCCCTCCATTTTTGTTCATATAGAGCACGGGTGTCAAACTCGATTGCCTCATGTGACATATTAGATGTATTGTGATACATGGAGCTGGGGTGGGCATGGCCTGTGCATGATACATTTGGCCCATGGGCCACCAGTTGACGATTCTAGAGCCTCTTTCACTTCCTGAGTCCACAAAATATTCTCTTTCATACTTCCCATTCGTTTAATTTCACACATTTCTCTGGTACCTTGTAACATAATTCTGTTTTACTCTACTCCAAACAATTTCCACATTCTTTTTTCTTGTGGGAAATTTGAATCTATATTCATATAGGACTTTGTGTCTTATTCCTGTAGTCATTCTACTTTGTTCTAGTTTCTTTCACCTCTTTTCTTTTCTTACATGATTATCTCTCCCTAAAATCTATTCTTAGCAAAGAAGAGTCTGCCCCACATTCAAAATCTTTCATTATCCTTCAGCAATATATGTTGTATAATAAATAAATCAACATGCATAATTTAAGTTACCTGTGCTTGATCAATGTAAAGTTCTTCATCATGGTCGTGTAATTTATCCAGGTCTTCATATATTTCGGAAACATAAGTTACAGAACTCATTGTAGGAGCAGCCATAATAGCATCAAAGATAACATATCCTATGAGAATTCCTGCAAAAACTTTCATTCATGTGTGTGTGTGAGTGTGTGTGTGTGTGCATGTGCTGATTACCAATCTGATTGAAAACAGTCTATTAAATATTATTGTTGTAACTGAATCATGTTAAATGCTAATGAACTAGAGTGTTTCTAAAATAAAGTCATAAAATATAAAATAAAATAATAAAATATAAAATAAAATAAATAATAAAAATAAAATGTATGTCTAGAAATTAGTCACTTAAACTGAAATAAAATTAGAATGAATATGTTTCAGAAGAATGGTTTCTTTATTTTTGCTACATAAAATAATGCTATCAAATATATGTATATATTTAATATAATCTGAATTTAACAGAACTCCATAGAGACACCATTTCCCTGCCCAGGGAAAGTAGGCAGATAATTTTGCTCTAGGCTTGCAACAGTCTTCAAGGGGCATCCCCTGCTGGAAAAGGGAGTTACTTATGTTACTGGAATGGTACTTTCATAATAACAAAACTCTTTTTGGATTTCTATTAAGAGGCAAATTAGAGCAGTGACCATATAATAATACATTTAACAATGTCTATGTACTCATATGTGGAATCTCCCAGGCACAAATTTCTAGATATAGTTTATTACAAGGGCCTATTTTAAGACTACTGTGGCTTGGGGCTAGTCTGCCTGGTAGGTAACTAATGATCAGGGAACTATTTCTGAAGAACATAAATATATAATTTCATCCTTTATTAATTTACCACTCAAAGTTACTTCAGAGTACATTTTTGGCACTACTTTCAAAGTATGTCTCAAAAGTGTTTTTTCGAAAGGCAACTGGATTTTTTTTTTTCCCCTTGGAGACGTTTTGCTTCTGGATAGAATGATTCAAACAAGTGTTCAAACAAATCAATGCTGTGCGTGCGTGTGTGTGTGTGTGTGTGTGTGTGTGTGTGTGTGTTCAATTTCACTTTTTATATGTACCATGCAAGAGTATAAGATATATCAGATAGAGCCAAGACAAGTAATTAGCAAACTAGGAGAGCACATCCAGTGGGAAGATTAGTAGTGTGAGATTGAATATCTCTGGAAGTGGATTTGGATTGAGGCAATTAAATTCCATGTATTAACCCCCTAACGTTATACTGTAGAATAACTCAGAAAGATTATATTTCAGTAGAATTACCCGGGTATAATCATAGCAACCATGATTAAATGGGCAAGCTGCTGCAATGAGGTGGATGAAAGTATTTGATAATAATGGATATTCAGCCAAAAAAGGTAGGTTCTTTTGAATGATTCATATCAATAACTTTTATATTCTTTCCTTGACATTTAGTTTGTCATGAAATTTCATGAAGGTATGAGATTTAGTTGACTAACTTTATTTTTTTAATGTAATGATTGGTTTTGCAGTGCAGTTTTTGTTAACTCCGTTTGTAATTTGCACCTCATATACCATCGTAATGGGTCTTAAGAAAATATAAACATTCACAAACAAAATTTCATTTTCAGTATTCACATATACTGAACAAAAGAAGTACTGATATGGGAGGAAAATATGAATAAATCTGATGTCCGACTACTTCACTCATGCCTTTTATTTTTTTTAAAGAAGTCATTTATAAACTGTGTTTATAATATTAGACATTCATGAAACACTTTTGCTGTTGAGATTGCCTTGACTCAAAAATTCTGATATTAAATACTTGAAAGAAGGCCTTTGTGGAGTAGATTTCCTCATGAAGGTATGAGATTCCAATGGGAATAGTAAACAACAGAAGGCCTTCATTTTCCTCTTGTGTATTTCGGGTTTTTTTAAAAATAGCTAATAGGCAGAATCTACAGGCAGCTAAGTTTCTGTACTTTCATTTTTTTATTCAAAGGTTAACTGTACTGAACTTTTCAACAATGCTTTATTTAGAATATTCTTTTGATGTATCATGCTACTAAAAGAAGTATAACTTTTCAGTGGCTGGACAAAGATAATAAATATCTTAGTACAAACATTAAATGAGATGCTGAGGTCACATTTTCTTTGGAAACCACCAACTCAAATTAAAAAGCAAACAATTAAAATATATGCTTATAATTATTACTCTTTTCAAAGAATTAAAATTGTTTGAAAAATAAGCATATAATTTGATGTGTGTGTGTGTGCATGCGTGTGTGTGTGTTCCCAGGTGTAACTAGTTGCTTATAAATGACAAAAGAAAGAGAACGCTTACCTTTCACTTCCGCGTTCTCAAATGGCACATAGAGTTATTGAGTGTTGAATGAAGAATTGATAGTATTTGACTCTAGCCAGCTGTGGTCTGGTCTGAGACTTAGGGAGGATGGTATGGTAAAGATCAAATCCTGAGAAATTTCTTGGTGTTTTAGCAAATCAGATAACATCTTCTGAATGCCTAACCTTGTAGAGTAGTTAGGTGTAATTTATTTTTGAGGAAAGATATTATGTTTCTAAGTCTGTACTGAAATAACTAATTCATCATTCATGCCATTTTCAAGAACAAACAGAAAACTAGAATACTTAATGCCATTTCTTTTCTATATAGCAATAAAAAAGTGAACTTTAAACACAGTAACTACAGACAAAATCACTTTTGTATTATTTATAGTAAACCATACAGATTTGCTTTAATATTAGGTTTTTATATGTAAATTCTTTATTGTANCATGGCTGGCAAGCCACTCCCACCAAGTCACATGGCTGGCAAGCCACTCCCATGAAGCAGGCCACACCTACAGAAGAGGTTCTAAAAAAATTTGAAACCCACCACTGGTGCAACTGATGCATGAGACAAAGCCCTTCCTCCTACAGCTGTCAAGAGCTCATTGAAAAGGAACTGCTAATTTATTTATTTATTTATTTCTTTAGTTTGTCAAATGTGTAGGAGATAATAGGTATGTATAAACATGGACATGAACACAGGAAATGGGTATGAATAAATGGGGACAAAGGACAGGGATGGTAGGCATGCTGGTGCGCTTATGCACACCCCCTTACAGACTCTTAGGGATGGGGTGAGGTCCACACTAGACAATTTAAGTTTAAAGTTATGGGGGTTTGAGGATGTAACAAGAATCAGGTAGTGCATGCCAGGTATTAACCATTCTGTTGCTGAAGTCGTCTTTTCTTTCTTCTTTGGAGAGATTTACCTTTGTATCTATTGTTTGCCTGTGTATTATTGCAGTTGAAGCTGAGGTAGTCATTAACAGGTAGGATGTTGTAGCAGACAATTCTGTGTACTATGCTTAGGTCAGAGTGTAGAAGGTGAAGTTCTAGGTTGTCCAAGCCCAAAATTTCAAGACTGGTGGCATCAGGGATTCTATTGTGAGCAGAGGAATGGAGTACTCTTCTCATGAAATATTTCTGGACTTGCTCGATTGTATTAATGTCCAACATACAGTGTGGATTCCAGGAAGATTTGTATGTTCTAGTTTGCAGTACAATGTTACTGGAGAAGACATTCTCAAATTGTTAATTACCTTTAAATGGGGGAGTACAACTCCATACAGAAACATATTTAGTATTTCCTGGAATAATTTGACCCATAAAACAAATGCCACCCCTTCTTGAAAGATACAATCTGAGTTTGATCTTTCCTTCAGACACTGGGTCGGCACTTCCACAGCATCATCTGATAATAGTGAACTCTGTTCTAATAAAAACCTCCCATAGTTGCTTTATGTAAACATTAAAAAGAAGTAGTATAGAACCCTGTACTACTTCAAAAAAATTGACCTCTCCGCATAGCTCAGCCCTCCCCAACTAGAACCAGTCATTCAAGAAGGAGGAAAGACATTGCAAAACAATGCATCCCATGTCTGGAGTATTGTGCCAAACAATTAATGTGCTGCTTTGTTCTGGACCAACTAAAGTTTTGTAATGCCCTTCAAGTGAATCCCCAATACTTAGTAGAATACATTGCAATAATCCAGTCAAGAAGTAACTAAGCAGCCATGGGTGATCATGACCAATACCTCCTAAATGAAAAACAACTATAACTGGTGTGCAAGATGTAATTGTGCAAAGGCTATGGTCTGGCCTATGGCTGCATGAACAGGAAGAAAGGACTGCAGGGGAAGCCCCAGATTATGCACCTATTGAAAATCACTAGAAGTTGCCTGTCTGATATTTTGGGTAATGGATTACCAATATTCTTAGAAGTTTAAAAGGCAACATTTTGTGATGATGTGGCTTTTGGAAGAAACTAAATTTATCTGGATCTTGTTATAATTTCATTTGACTTCAATAGGAATTGAAGTCAAATGAAATTATAACAAGATCCAGATAAATTTAGTTTCTTCCAAAAGTAGTCTGTGCATATATATTTCTCCCCTCTGTCCTCTGATTTTTTTTGGAATGATTTCAGTTTACTTGTTGGCTATAAACCTGTGCACTCTTATACAAAGAGCTTTTAGATATTCTGTCTATAAAACATAACCCAGAAAAATTTACACTAAAATAGAATTTGAGACTTAACAACAAATGTAAAGTCAGAATAAACAAGCAAGTTAATGAAAAAGGATTTGTGACAAAATCCAGAGTGCAATATTTAGTGTATCAGTAGTTTTCAACCTTAGCAGCACATCTTCAGCTTAAGAACTTGGCATAAAAACTTCAGATACATACATACATACATACATACATACATACATACATACATACATACATACATACATACATACATACATACATAGCCTCTCACTTTGCAAAGCTTTAGTGAGTCTGCTTTAAGAAACAAATTCCCATAGTTGTGCTTTACTGCTCATGCCTCAAGGGATGCAATAGGAAAAGCAATGAACAGTTCATCTTCCACCTATTGCCTGCATTCACAAGTAGGGCTTACATTCAGAAGTTAGGGCAAAAAGAAGCAGCTGCAAGTATCTCCTGGACAGAGCACTTCTAGCTCATGACTTTCTTTGGTTGATGATTATGAGCAATGACAAAACCTCAGCAAAGAAGACTTTTCAGAATTGCATGACATATCTGAAAAATCCTGTGGCAAGGCTGAGATTAAAGTTTTCATAAAAGAATGCCTATACCATGTGTCCATTTAGTTGTTATTTGTTATGAGTATTTTTCAACCTTAACTGGAGATGTCAACTCCAGTCAACTTTTTCAATTACCGTGTCCTTACTATTTTCATAACATGCACCATCTCAACTATAGACAGTCCTCAACTCATGATAACAATTGAGAGTGAATTTTTTGTTGCTAAGCAAAACAGTTACGTGAGTTTTGTCTCATTTTATGACCTTTCTTGCCACAGTGGTTCAATGAATCACTGCAGTTAACAGTAATAGAGTTGGAAGGGATCTTGGAGTCACTTAGTCCAACACCCTGCTCTTGCAGAAGACCTATACTATTTCTGACAGATGGCTTCAGTCTATTCTTAAAAGCCTCCAGTGTTGGGCCACCCAAAATTTCTGAAGGTAAATTTTTATGAATATTTTTTAAATCTTACCTGGAGATGCCAAATTAAGTCAACTTTTTCAATTACTGTGCAGTTGTTAAGTGAATCTGGCTTCCCCGTTGACTTTGCTTTAGTAGTGGCAAAAGGTGGGACAGTGCAACCATCATAGATAATGACTCAGATGCCGATCATCTTTATTTTGATCACATGACCAAGGGGTCATATGCGTGAAAAACAGTCATAAGTTCTAGAATGGTCATAAGTCACTTTTTCAGTGCCGTTGTTCAGTTCAGTTATACAATTTGTTAATGCAAATTGCATCAAAAATGTTCCCCCTGTAAAATCTTATTGATTTTAGGGATTCTTATGATGGTAATTTGTAAATTACATTCTGTACTGTATGGGTATAGTCATTTTGCAGTAGATAGTAGAATCCAAAGCCTGATATAAAAACCATTTAAAAAAATTGTTTGAAGAATCTTTAAAGATTAGAATGTATAAAACAATTTATTTCATGTGAATGAAATAAATAGCATTACATTCACCAAAGTAGTTTTAAAAAAAATTTAGTTTCCATCAATCTACATTTTTAAAAAAATGTAAATCTATTTTCACAATAATATACACTCAACATTTTTCATTTGCTGTTTTTATTTTCTAAAGTCATTTAATATAGCATGCAGAAATAAGAGTATAACAATAATAGTATTTTTACTGTAAAATAACCATTCCTTTAAAGTTTTAAACTGACCTCAATAGAACAAAATAAAATGCATTAATAAAATAAAAACTTTAAAATGACGCTATTTTCTGAATTCTTCGCATGGATATGCTGATGTAATATTTAATTTTATTTTCCTTTATATATAAAGAAAGTAGATAGTTATGTTGAATTATTGTTTTATGTAATGTAATAAAACAGGAGAGATTTTATTTCAAAGTGTGAACTACTGTACATATCTGGTCCAGCCCTAAGTACTAAATATACTATTTTGATGAGAAAATGCCTGATTTCAAACCTGAGTAGAAGTTCACACCCACAAGGAGAGTGGTAAGAGTTTATTGTGAGTATACACCAGTGCTTTTTTAAAAAAACATTTTCAAACTCAGGCTGTATATAGCTGTGTGAATAAAACAATCTAAGAAATAAACATAAGAACATTTTTGTCCACAATCTATGGGACTTTCTAGCTTTATAAAAAAAACAAATCTGCATCACAGGCATTCTAGCATATACACATAAAAAAAAAACCCAGCCACACAATAATGCTGTTTATTAACAAAACAAATGATCTTATCCCAGGTGACATTTTAGTACTAAAGTATTACTATGGTGTGTAAAGCATCATGAGAGAAAGTGTTGTACAACTCATTTCAAAGAAATTTCAGTGGCCACTCGGAGACAGTTGTACGTTTCCTGTGGAAGATCCTCTCTTGTGATATTATTTCCATCCAGACGCAGATGAGATACCCTGGAATAGGCCAGTATCCCGACAACCTTACAAAAGCTTTTCACTGAAAATTCTGTAATGTAAATAACACAATATTAGAATATAACTTTCACAATCAGTCTAAGATATTTCTAAATTTAACTAATGCCAGGAGTTCTAGCACATTTTAGGTTGCTCAGCTAATTAAATTCTATTTCCCATAAGTTATATATATGTTATATTGCACCCAGATATCAGACATTATGCTTAAAGTCCTGATGTGAAAAATTTAAACACAAAAACATCTAAGAAAGAGCTTTTAGTTTTAAGCAATGAGATGAACAGATGCTTCCATACCAATTCAACATGATGGTATTGCTTACAAGCTTTATTTGTCTTTACTGTGCTTTAATATAGTGAAATGTGCCTATTGTAGCTAGGATACATTTATTCTATAGTTGGTCTGTAGGTCATGTGATTTTTACACCCTTATACAGGATGTGGTAGCCTAGAGGTTTAATGACGCTGAAATTGCTGGCCAAGAATGATCTCCATTCCGGCGGTTTGAGCCCGGCTCCATGAGACAGAGTGAGCTCCATTGTTCAATCCCTAGCTCTTGCACATCCAGCATATTGAACAAATGCAATATTGTGAGTAGATAAATGGATACCACTTTTCTTGTGGAGGGGAACCTAGCTGCGTTTGTATGTTCATGAGACCAAAAGCAGGCACTGGGCCTGGCCAGATATGAGGCACATCAACACTAGGAGAGGTGAGGCAAGACCAGCAGAGGAGCCTCAAAGATCCAGCAACCAGAGAGCTGCTAGTTAATTGGTGTAATGCTAGTTCGCAATGCACCAAGGATAGACACACAAGCACCAAACAGATTGAACTAGCAATCTAGGCTGTCGGACTATTATGTATTGTGTCTACCATTTGTAGATTTCCTTGACATTTTGTATGCCACATTTTAAGTAAGTAAGTAAGTAAGTAAGTGAATGAGTGAGTGAGTGAGTGAATGAGCAAATGAACGAATGAATGAATGAATGAATAAACAAATAAACAAACAAACAAATAAATTACACCCTTCTTTTTGGAAGGCAATGTTCTTATTCCTTAAATAAGCTATAATATTATGGTCACAAATATTTGTTACAATTATATATGAAACTGAGAAAAATAATCTAGAATGTATTTATTTGTTTTAGTATTATAGAATAAAATAGCAAAAATGTGCAGCAGTATCTATTGTCTTGCCTGGTTTTAGTTTTTGGAACGTTATTGTGATTTATTCTCAGGTAAGTATGGAGAAGAAGTATTGATGTCATTTTCACTGGTTCTTCCACTGTTTTTTTTTCTCATTTTCTTTTTATGCCACAGTTGCTTGATTGTGGAAATAGCCAATCATTAAATATGTGGCTTCCAGTTTCTGCTTCAGATTTTTTCCCATTGAAATAATCCTGAAGGAGTTATATTAATGAGTTTTTAATGTGTTTGTTTAATCTCTTGCTGAGAGTAACAGAAAGTAGTATGGTTAATATCTATGCTAGTTCCCTAATCTATTTTCAAGTATTTTCAAATAAAACTTTATTTTTATTACTATTTTAGGAATTCTCATATCCTGGTCACATCAAGATGCATAGTAATCATAGATTTGTGGATAGTTATTACCAAGTTGTTGTTGTTGTTGTTGTTGTTGTTGTTATTGTTGTTGTTATTTATTACTATTGTAGTGAGAAGTATAGTGAAACTGATTTTTTTCAATTGAAAATTTGCTATAATAAATGGCATCAAAACTAAACTAGTTATTAAAATTTGAGCAATGATGCTTGATGAATAAAATGCATTACATAGAAGACTATGGAATTTGTTTGGTAGTAAAAGGAAATGATGGGTTTTAAAAAACCCTGACCAAACTGTTTTGATGAGCCATCATAATTATGACTATCTTCATCAACATAATTTATTATGAGTCAAAATCGAGACATGGCTTGAAACTATTACTTCCAGAAGAGAAGGCTTTCACATCATGAAGTGAAAGCAGGACCTATGGACTTCTGCTGTTGCTAGCTAGAATATGTATGATTACCAATTATCTTTAAAACAATTGCAAATTTGTATCATAATACCTATTATTTTTAAAAAGAGATGGAATGAACATAAAGACTGGGATACAATGGTTATATTAGGATTGAGAATTAAATAAGATAATCTAATTTAACTATTACCAACCCTCTTCTCTCTTCTCTTCTTTTAATGGAAATAATACTCACTGGTAATTTCGTTGACTTGGAGGTAGTAGTTTTCAAGGTGCTCATTGACTGTCGGAATGTTCTTTAGCTGATTATAGGAGAGATCCAGCTCCACAAGTGAAGAGATATTGAATACATTGCTTGGTATTCCAGAATCTGTCAGTTTATTGTGAGAAAGACGTAAATACTGCAGTACTTTTAAACCTTGGAAATACTGATCAGGAACGCCACTAATCTGATTATGATCAAAATACAGCATCAATAAATTATTAGGCAGTCCTGTAGGCAGTTTAGTCAGTTTATTATTGCTCAAGTCCAGATACAAAAGTGATTTTAAGCCTTTAAAAACTCCAGAGAGTGTACCTTCAGTCAGTTCATTGTGCTGTAGGTGAATGACAGTCAGATTCACTAGTCCCTCAAGTGTATTGGGAGTGATTTTGGAAATCTGGTTATGAGTGAGTTGCAGGTCATCCAGAGTGCTGGGAAGTGGCCCAACAACTTCAGTTAAATTGTTGTGATTGATGTGCAGCTTTTTTAAATTCTTTAATTTGGCAAAGACTTTGCCTTTAATATTAGAATTTTTCAGTTGGTTATTGTCTAGGATTAGCCACTCCAGATCTGTCACATTCTCAAAAGCATTATCTTCTATGCCTTCAAGCAGATTATTGCGGAGATACAGGTATTTGATTCCTTTAGGAATAATGGGGAAACTCTTCAGTTTAAGATCATCACAATACATGGCTGAGGGGTAAGTTATAGGACAATGACATTCTGGGGCACAGACCGATGATAGCTCTAACATTGAAAAATAATAAGAAAAATCTGGGTTAGGCTCGTAATCATATTGACAGAAGATGCCGGTGATAAAAAAAAGGAAGAAAGGAAGAGAAGTCAGATACATCTTTGCAGCCAGGATTGTTTCTGTTAAAGGAGATAAAAAAACATAGTTATTTCAATGTTGTAATAAAGAAGCATATTAGAAGAACAAAACAAAACAAAATATAACTTCTGTGTATCTCTATCTCTATCTATCTATCTATCTATCTATCTATCTATCTATCTATCTATCTATCTATCTAAGAGCCAAGAGCCAAGGTGGCGCAGTGGT